CGTGGTCCACAAGGAATCACTGCTTCTTCAAGAATAGCAGTAAATACAGTCAAGATCAAGGATCACCAACTCATAGGGGCACTTCTCAAATTTCCCCACTCAAACCTCCCAAGGTCAGAAGCACTCAGCTCATCTTTTGGAGGGTTAGCCCAAAGGTCTTCAGCAAGTGAATGGCAGAAGTCATGTGCTTTATCTTGTGGAAATTTTTTATTCTTACCTGTAAGAAGTTTGTATATTAACATACAATGGAGAAAAGATAGCCTCTTCAACAAATGGTGCTGGGAGAACTGGAAACCCATATGCAGCAAAATGAAAATAAACCCCTGTCTCTCACCATGCACAAATTCAACTCAAGGTGGATCAAGGACTTATGAATTAGACCAGAAATCTTGCACCTAATAGAGGAAAAAGTAGGCCCAAATTTTCTTCACATTGGATTAGGCCCCGACTTCTATAACAAGATTTCTAAAGTTCAAGAAATAAAATCAGAATTAATAAACGGGATGAATTCAAATTAAAAAACTTGTTCTCAGCAAAAGAAACAATCATTGAGGTAAAGAGAGAGCCTACATTTTGGGAACTGTCTTTACCACATGCACATCAGTTAGAGCACTAATCTCCAGGATATATAAAGAACTCAAAAAACTTAACACCCCGAAACAAACAACCCAATCAATAAATGGTCTAACAGACACTTCTCAGAAGAAGATATATATTCGATCAATAAATATATGAAAAAATGGTCAACATCTCTAGCAATTAGAGGAATGCAAATCAAAACTACTCTAAGATTTCATCTCACTCCTTTCAGAATGGCAGTTATCAAGAATACATGCAACAATAAATGTTGGTAAGGATATGGGGGAAAAGGCATACTCATTCATTGCTGATGGGACTGCAAATTGGTGCAGCCAATCTGAAAAGCAGTATGGAGATTTCTTTGAAAACCTGGAATGAAATCACCATTTGATCCAGGTATCCCACTCCATGATCTATACCCAAAGGACTTAAAATCAGCATACTATAGTAACACAGCCACATCAATGTTTATAGCAGCTGAATTCACAAAAGCTAAACTATGGAAGCAACCTTTAATAGATGAATGGGTGAATAAACTGTAATATATATACACAATTAAATATTACTCAGCAGTAAAAGAAAATAAAATTATGGCATTTGCAGGTAAATGGATGGAGTTGGAGAATATCATGCTAAGTGAAGTAAGCCAATCCCCAAAAAACAAAAGCCAAATGTTCTCTCTAATAAGTGGATGCTGATCCATAATGGGGGGGAAATGGGGAAAATGGAGGAACTTTCTTGGGGCAAAGGGGATGGCAGAGTGGGGAGTGGGTATGGGGGCAAAGAAAGATAGTGAAATGAGATGGACATCATTACCCTAGGGACATGTACGACTGCACATATGGAGTGACGCTACATTGTGTGCAATCAGAGAAACGTAAAGTTGTGCTGCAACTGTGTACCATGAATCAAAATGCATTCTGCTGTAATACATGCCTAATTAAAATAAATAAAATAAAAGAATTCATATATTTCAATGTAAAAAGAATCTTTCATATTACTTATTACTTAAAGATGAAGTGTCAAGAAGATGTATCATCTGACTCCAGTGTTTCAAGTGCCACTCTTCTTTCTTAGGGTACAAATGTGAAATAAGGTTTGATGTTCTTAAAAACCAGAGAAAGGATAGCAATGAGAATCAATAGGAGGGGAAAAAAACTGTCTGACCCAATGCAGAGCAGAGTTTAATGTACTGTAAATTAATAAAAAAGATCAAACTCCAGTCTGCCCTTCTATAAAAAAGACTATGCAAGTATGAGTGCTCTGTGTCTCAGCTTTGTGGGCCTCACAGTCACCACAGCTCCTTCACAGAAAGGAGCATTTGTCACAGGGCTACCGAAAGTTCTCTCCCTGGCAGGGCTCCTGATCTGCACACGGGAGGTGACTCATGGGGATGCTTCTTCACTGACCCAGCCTGGAAATCCCCAGGCCACCTTCCTAGTCTCCCTTTCTTTCCTCAGCAGTGAGCTGGAGAGGTGAGCATCCACTGTGGTTCTCAGCTGCCCCGACTGGACAGAACCAGTCTTCCTGCTGATTGGGGCCCTTATATGGAGTGGGCACCAGGGCGTGGAAGGAGTGGCCTGCCTGGTGAGTCCTGTTACACACAGTGTGGGCTGTTGTCAGTAGGCCTTATCTGGCCATCTGTGTACACCTGTGAAGACGGTTGCCATGACACCAGGTGTGTAGGCAGTGACTTAGTTAGATGGTGGCCACACAGGATTCCTGACAGGACAGATACTCATGTGGGAGCTCAAAGAAATCTTGAAAGGTACCAGGAGAGATGTCAGAGCCTGAACAACCCCGGTGGGGGGTGGGGGAGCTGCAATAGAGAGGGAGCAGGCAATGCAGGGAGAGACAGGTAGGGTTCTGGAGATGGCATCACAGGTAATGCTGTCCCTAAAACTCCCTTGGAAAGGGCTACCTGTCTCCCTTTCTCATTGGACCTCCTGGGCCATCACAGTTGTCTCTGGAGATCAGCTTGGATCCCTTGCTATCTCCTGTTGCTTTCCCATTTACCATGGCTTCTGTGTCTGCCTCCCCCTCAGGCTCATGGCCCTGCTGTCCCCTCTCTGATTTTAAAACTTGCTCTATGAAAAACTTCTCTGCTGGAATCCTTCTCCAAGGATTCCTGAAGCACTTGCTGTGACTCTTGTGTCTATATAAGGATACAACAGAGATAAGGATGTGTACATGAGATGCCCCAGTGGCACAGCAGCAAGCCAGACCTGGAGAGGAGAAAAAAAAAGAACAGGGAAGGAAATCTTTAAAAATTAAGTTTTCTTGATGTACTCTTCTAAGAATGTTAACCCTTGATAGATTGTGCACTCCACAAAAATCACATTTGAGACTATTTTTTACCATTACTACATATGTATTTCCTATTATTGATAAAGTTTGCATACAAACCATGTGTTTATGATTAATGACTCTAATCCACTGGGGTGGAGAGAATTAAGTTAAATAATTTCTGAAATATCCAAATACAGCAAAGTGCATGTACAAGAGTTGAATCTCTGTTTCCTCCAGAATACTAGAAGTTTGCAAGATCTTCTGGTATGAGGACAAAAATTTAAAAATAAATAAATAAGGAAGAGAAAAAGAAAAGGGGGAAAGGAAAAAATGGGGTGGGGAAGAGGAGAAGAACTCAGGCACAGGGGAAAGAGAGACCTTTTCAGTGGAGTCAACTTGAGTACATTTAGAGCAAATAAACCTTATGACTTTGCACCCAACAAAATCTGAGGAGAGGGGAAGAGTGAGTTTGGTGGAGAGCGCTGGTGTTTGAGTCTTCTCTTTGAGCTGGGCGATGAAAGTGGCACTCAGGAAGGTCCTGATAGTTAAGATTTCCATGCACAGGCTCACTTCCTGGTGCTTCCCATCTTCTAATTCACATAAGTCTCACTGTAACCTTTTCGGGGTATAGTACCACACTCCCCATTTATAGACGAAGCATGAGTCCAGACAGAGCAAGTGGCTTGCCCAAGGTCACATGGTTAATAGGTTAGTAATTGAGTAAGAAAGGATCTGGGATTATACAAGGTGTTCTGACCTGGAGCCCTCCCTCCTGGCCACTTCTCCAGGGTGGTAGTCTTGAGTGTGTGCTCACTGGTATTCTCAGTCATCGTTTCCCAAATGCAAAGTTATATGTGAAAAGAAAAAAAGAAAAAGAAAATATGGATGGAAAGAAATTTCCAATAGGTTTTGGAAAAGCAATCTGAACAAGAGCTGAGTATGGCTGATCTGGATGCTTAGCAACGCTCCAGTACACAGGACAAAGAGCTGGGGCCTTGGAAATGGGTTGTCCCAGGACCTCTGGCTTTACTTGGCAATTTAGAAGTTCTGTGCATTGGGTAAGTAGAGGAAGGGTTTCCCAGGAGTCTCATCACTTCATGCCCCTGTCTTACTTTAAAATGTTCATCTTAAGTTTCCGAGTACCCTGAAGTCTTTATTAAAGACCCAAGCTGAGGCTGAAGACAATAAACTGCTCCATTATAATTCCCTAAAGGGTTGTTGACAGGAAATAAAGCACTGGAGTAGACCAACTCGGGGAGCCATCCAGACATAGAGTACTCTGGGGTGTCCTTGGCCTTTCTGCACCATCCCACCCTACAGACCTTACTGGGAGAGAGTTCCTACCAGATCCCCTGAGCAAAGACACACACTTAGGCTTCCACAGTAGCCTAAGAGCACAGCATTTGGAATCCTCAGCTGGTCTTTGGAGGGCCTGAAGAGCCCCTGAGTACTTAGAATACTATTTAAGTGGACTACAGCAGTTCTTCAGAAATGAATTCCTCCCTGGGGATGGTTGGGGGAGGGAGAGACAATCATAAAGTTGTCTAAAACCGAATCAAACCTGGGAGAGTAGATGAAATCTCAGAAACTTCTTGCACATTATTCTAACTTTTTCTCTAGATGGTGCCTAACTGGACTGTGGGACCAAGCTGGACGGTGGGAATCACTACACACTTACCCAAGGGAGGAGAGGCGGGGCTTCTGACTTGAATTCCAAACCTGGGGATTCAAAGTTTCTGTAAATGAAGATGGACATTGTTTCTGGTAAGTGTCTCTTATAAAACCGCAGGGGAGGAAATAAAGTCTTGTTAGGCAATGGGTTCTCTGTTGTCCTTTGGTTTCCCCCTTCCCATTGGGAGCACCCATCCAGGGAAGAATGCTCTGTTTCTGTTGGGTGTGTATGAAGAAGCTGTGCTGAATTGAAAAGTCAGTTCAGGGAGGAACGGTTCTCAACTGTGGTGTCAGGAAGGACTAACCTGTTTCTAAAGCTTGAAGGGAGTATGACAAATGCATGGTTGCTCATAACAGAATGCCAAAGTGTCGGAATGGGTTCCTTACCAAAGACAAATTAGAGCCAATTCAATATTCTCACCATTTCAGAGTCATTCTTTTTTAAAAAAAAAATTATATATATATATATGGAATACTTCACAAATTTGCATATCATCGTTGTTCAGAGGCCATGCTAATCTTCTCAGACTCATTCTTAAACCCACATATTCTGATGCTTTCTTCAATGGTAGAGAACAAGATAGAATTAAAGCCAGTGAAAGAAATTTCACACCCTCAATTTACAAGTCACTGGAGCCACCCTACATCCATAAGGATGACTATTAAGTGACAACCATCACCACAACAGAAAACAAAAAGGATCAGTGAAGATATGGAAAAATAGGAACATTTGTGTGATATTGGTGAGCACAAAAACTTCTGCAGCCACTATGGAAAACAGGATGGTGATTCCTCAAAAAATTGAAATTAATCTATATGATCCAGAAATTCCACTTCTGGGTACATACCAGAAAGAACTGCAAGCAAAGTCTTGAAGAGATATTTGTACAACTATATTCATAGTAGCATTCTGTTCACAATAACCAAAAGGTAGAAGAAACCCAAATGTCCACCAATGGATGCATAGATCAATAAAACGTGCTACATACATATAGTGGAATAATAGCTTTAAAAAGGAAGAAAATTATGAAACATATACAACATGAGTGAATCTTGAAGATATCATACTAAATGAAATATGCAAAGCACAAAAAAAACCCAAACAATTTTATGAGTGTAGTCAGGCAAAAGTAGAGACAGAAAGTAGAGGGATGGTTGACCAGTTGGAGGCAACATGGAGTCATTTAATATCTACAGAGTTTCAGTTTTGCAAGATGAAAAGAGTTCTAAAGACTAGTTGCACAACATTATGAATGCATTAACACTTCTGAACTGTGTAATAAGAAGCTATTAAGTCAGGAAATTTTAATGTTGTGCATATTTTATCATAATTAAAAATTTAGGGCTGGGAATGTGGCTCAGGGTCAGAGGCTTGCCTCGCCTGCACAAGGCCCTGGGTTCCATCCCCAACACCACCAAAAAAAAAAAAAATTAAAATTTTTTAAAGATGCAATCAGATCATAGGACTATGAGAGTGTGTTATACATAAAGTATTACCCAGCACAGGGGCACAGGGAAAGCACATTTTAGATGACAGAGTGTGGAAAGCCTTAGGGCATTGCTGAGACCACCTTCTCCCTGTTGCCCTTGTTTTTTCTCCATCTTTTTCCTCATGGTCTGTGTACTTTTGTCAACAGGGCCTATTATTTGCAGAATCTTGCTGATTTGCCCTTCCTTTTCTTCCCTGGCTATATCCACCACCTCATAATGATCTGCTTAATTCATCTCCTTTTTCTCCTCCAGTCTTTTCCATATGCCACTTCTATTCAAGTATTTAAAACAAACAAAAATCTGTTTTCCTATGTCACTAGCCTGCCCAATAAAATATAACCATTTATTTTTAGTTACTATGTTGGGTCGAACCCCAATATCCTTTACCAGCAAACTTTGTTATCTCTTGCTGGATCCATGAGCTTCATGGATGTAGCTGAATTCCTAATTTTTCTACCTGAGGGCCATCTGGAGGCCCCATGGTCTGTTCTTATCGGTTATCAATCTGAGCCCTGCATGATGAGGTGGAGGCGTGAGTCACTCAGCTAGAAGTGAGCATGCCACCATTTTCATCTCCTTGTGGCCTTGTGGTTCTCTTCTTGTTTCTGCAGAGACAAAAATTCTCTTGGTTTACTGTGGTTTGAGAGAGGAATGATGTGCCCATCACGGGCATGATGAAGTTGGGGACTCACAAATGTCTGGGACCTATTATTTCTTTTTTTCTTCTCCACAATTTAAGCTTCTCCTCTTCCAAGAAGCTTTCTATGGCTGCTCTAAGGCTTTGTGCTCTGTCTTCTCTGTTCTAATGGCAAGAGAGGAATCTGACCTGCAAATACTTAGCATAAGCTTTGTACGTGTGATGCCATTTCTGAATGGATTCATTTGGATGAACCTTACCTCTTTGACTAGACTGAAGATATTTTCAAAGATAAGGAACCAGGTCTTCTATATCTTTTGCGTTCACCACTTCACCACGCACATAGCTGGATCCTATCCAAGTGCTCAATAAATGCCATGAATTGTTGATCTGGAAGCAGGACCCTTAGATCTCAGAGAAGAACCTGATGGCCATGCAGAGACAATACCCTTTCTTGATCCTCCCAGAGAGACAGCAACTTCAGGGAGAAATGGCCCATTACAAGAAGCCACCTCAATTCTCCTTTTGTTGGCATATACTTTCTCCAGGACTTCTCTTTTCACCCTTGAGAAATGACTGACATGGATTTAAGACAATCATTCAGGAATTCTGTATCAGCACTGAATCATAGTGGGAAAATTCCAAGAAATTGACCTCTCTTTTTCCTATTATATTTTTCCTATTTCAAAAATGGATAGGTTGAGGTCACTCTGCACCCCAAGGTGATATAAAGATTCATTATTCTCTAAAATCCCATTACTTCGAAAGCATTAAATGTTAAATAGTTACTCCATGACTCTGACTTATGAGATCAAGTGGAAATGTTATGGAAATCAAATCTCCTGGTGGCTCTCATACTCCATGGAACTTGTGGCAATATTTTTTTACCTCTGCCCGGGAAAGAACCTCTGAGAAATAGGAGACAGATTCTCTTGCCGAAGAAGAATCTTAGTGTCATCCTTAAGACCTGACAGAAGTGAGTGACAAGTCAGGAATCCATCTGTCCAGATAAACCCACACCCTGGCAGGGCTCTACCAGATGGCTCCCAGTTGGTCAGTGACCTTACTGAACATTCAGGATTGGCTTCAATTGAAAACCCATAAGGAATTGAGAAACAATAGAAAAACACTCCTTTCAGCCATGACACAATAACCCTTTGTTTTGTATATTCCTATGCAAGAACATGACAATTATTTCCTGAGCCAATTTATTTGAGCAGTAGTGTTGCATGGTGAAACACAGAGATATAATTAGAATCTCTCAAGGCCAGTAAAGTTAATCGTTTCAAATCAAACCTTTCTACAATGCCGGCACCAAAAAAAATTGCCTTCCCTTATTTGCTCTCTGAGGACACTCCCTATGCATCAGGAAAAATTAGCTGTGTTTTTTGGGTGTTAAAAGGTAAAATGCCTCATGCCCAGAACATACTTCACAAATCTTAAGAGAGCTGAAGGAAGCATTTATCAACTGAGGTGCATGACTGTCCCCAGGAAGAGGCAGTGAAGTCTTGCTGGCACCCTACTCACAGGAGTATCAAAGGACCTTCCTTTGCCATTCTTTGCCTCCTCACACTCTCCTCTTTGTCGTGTGGGTCGCTAAGGAAACCATGGTAACATCAGTGCTTCTGCTGAGCACGGTGCCTGCTCAAAAGATAAAGAAGTGGGTTGAGCCTATTGTCCAAGAATAGACATATGATTTGGGAAAATATTCTTAAATACTGTATGCATTGAAGAAATTGGCAGATGGCTAGATAATAAGCTAGATGTCAGTTACACATTACTAACTATAGTGTTGATCTGAAAAAATTCTCCCCAAGGCTCTCAACTTCAGGAGAAATAGAGGGGCTGACCAATGGATAAAATCCCCAAGTGAAAAGATTGGCAGTGCCTTTGAGTTTATCATATTTCATTGACTTGACTTCAGTAGCAGAGATGTCCCAGTGTCTGTTTTTCTACCACTGAGCTATATCCCCAGCCTTTTCATTTTTTAGAGGAAAGGGTCTCATTAAATTGCCAAGACTGTAATCCTCCTGCCTCAGCTTTCTAAGTTGCTTGTGTAACCCAATACACCACCAGGCCTGGCAGTCCAGGTATCTTTTTTAACAACCTTTATCACCTACCATTTTGTCCTTGCTCATGTTGAACCACCACACACTGGCTGTTGAATTCAGCTGTCTGTGGAAAGCTATACCAACCATGTGCTTAAACAGAAGGAATACAATACACGGCTTATTTTGTATCTACAAAGCTAAGCAAAGTGGAAAAACAAGCTCAGTCACTTTCATAAGGATAAATAAAGATGCTTCAAAGTGACTTTGGACCAAATGTGTATAAAATATATAATCAGATGACTTTCAGAATAATAAGAGACATCAACTTTGATATTAGAATGGCTTAGACTTACCCATCAGGAGTCTTAGCTGGTCTTATCACTGGCTAGTTTTCTTCCCTGGAATTCAATTATTTTATTTGTAAAAGTGGACTCCTTTTTAAGATAGGTTTATTTCTTTTGCTTCTTTGTATTCCTTCCATTATATGTAGTACAAACCTTTGTCCATAATTGGATTCCAGTCAATATTTCATAGGAGAACAAATGAACAAAAGAATGAAGGACAGTTACAATGTGTCATATGATTGCTGAAAGAATGAAGAAAATGACATTGTCTTGACCAGGTATTTGACTGGAATGACTGGGTACCGTTGTGGACCTACTTGGCCCTTTTGTGGTCGGGGGTACAGTGTGCCTTTGTGGTAGTCCAGCATTTCTTTGGGGAACCCCTTGGAAAGGAAAAGGGAGGCAGAGCTTCAGCTGTACCACGGTGTGATGAAGGGTACATTGTTTGGGAGCTGGTAGCCTCGGTCTCTATTCAGACTTGGGGAGGGGCTTCCTAGTCATTGTATGTGATTTCCCTCTGACAATCCATTCACCAGAGACTTGTCAGGGGGCTAGTCAAAAAGAGACTAGGCTATTGGCTACCAGCCTCAGATCCACACCCATTCTTCACACCATCCTGTATATCACAGTTTCCTTGCCAGTAGGGAGACCAGAAGGAAGGAGGAAGAAGTTTCTTCATCTGCTACTGGTAGTGCCACCACAGTAGTAGTATTGTGGCCAGTCACTATGGGCTTTCATCCCTGGATGAAACTGAGTTATAACAAGGTCAGCTCTGGGTTCACTAGGATCTAAACATAGAGTCTGGAGTTCCAGTTCAGGAATTTTGTGGATCCAACAATAGCTATGATGGTAGAAGTAGCCTCAGGCAGCTCAACAGAGAGGGCACCCTTATAGGTTCCAGACCAGGCTACACTAGCTTCCTAGCCTCTGGGGAATGCTTCCCAGTCCTTGTGCTCCTTCAGCCATTCCAGTACTCTGGTAGCTTTTCTTCTCTGTTAACTTCTTCTGATGGAAACATGTAAACCAGTGCCTGTTGTCTTGTC